TTTCAGTCTCACCCCTGATCTTCTGATAGAAAAGATCTACACCTAGCCTTCTCGGACAAGGGCGAAAAACTGGGAGGGCCTGTGTGCAATTTGCGCACGTTAAAGACCCATTGGAGGTCTAAAATCGATAAGAGTAGGCTTCGGCCGCCACCCGAACAAAATTCAAAATTTCCTACCAACTGAAAAAGTTTGTGTGCCGCGCACTCATATGACCTTAGGCAGTTGTGAGCCCCGTAAAAAAAAAAAAAAAAAAAAAAAAAAAAAAGAAAAGAATACTACTCGTACCTAGGACCATACAGCGGCCTGGACGTACGTTTCACGGTGGTGATAATTGGTAGCATTGAGAAATTTTGCTCCTTCGATTTTTGAAAGATAAAAGCACATGTCAAAAAACTGTTGACTGTTTCGGAGTCAGAAAATCTGGTTAGAGAGTAGTTAGAACGCACCACTGGTAGGTCCCACTTCATTCTTTTTTTCTGTCCGTTATACTTTTTTTCTGTACTAAATAACGGCTATTGTGTTGTTACCTTCTTTTTGCTAAAAATAAAAAAGCAATAAAGAACAACTCCCCCTCCCCCCTCAAAACAAAACCCACGGAAAAAACCCCCAACCAAAATCAAACAACAACCCCCCTAAACATTTTAAAAGATAAAAAAAATATTGTAATATTTATTTGGTTCCCCATACGGCCACTGATCAGAGTAGAAATATCAAAGTTAAAAAACCGAGGGCAATGAATCGTTATTGTGTCGAATTCGAACCTTAGTTGGTGGGGGCTCTGGTGGGGTTTGTTCCTTCTTTCCTATCAAACATCTACCGTCCTCATCTCTCCTCCTTCTTTTTTGTGTCTATTACCCTCTTGTAACACCTCTAATCTTCGGCACTTACATGACCTAATTGTGTTACAAGTGCCGTTAAGCCCTTACTTAAACGGAACCTTGGACTGTTGAACAGCACCAGCACAACCAATTCTGAACCCATGACGCGACAGTGTTCGAGTGGAGCATTTATAATCAAACTCCGAAGTCATAATTTTTCACAGAACTTGAGTTAGCGTTCTTCATTATACTTACATGACCTTTGGTTTCTTGACCCCACAGAGTTCACAAAAAAAGGCCAAGGACAGCTATGACATTCTTTGTTCCCGGACATCTCTGGCTAGCACCCTTCCCTCTCACCCTGCCCCATCCCCAACAAAGCCTCTTTATTTTCTTGTTAAGAATGTACATTAATATTTTAACCGGTTGAGGCTTCATGGACCGGCTTCAATAATGTAGAGGTTCATTTCGCTCCTCAACTTGGGGGCATTTAAGACGAGAGTTCAAGAAGATATAGTTTCGAGCATCTCCATCTGCTTTCATCTTTTTTAAATTTGAGTAAAGAGAAGCATATTGACACAATAATGGCCACTAAGTGCTAAAAAAAAAAGACAGATAGAAACAATAGAGGGAAAGAAAAGCAGTACGACCTGAAAGTGGCGCCCTCCAACCACCCCACGCGCTCAATCTGTCTGATGAGATACTTTATCCTACTACATTTTGTACTGAAGTTCTATTGGGAACAGGTTCTCCTGACAGGTAGATGTAGACAATCCACCTCCAGCTGACCTAAATTGTGTTGAAGCCGGCATAAAACATATACGTTCTACATTATCTCGGGTGATCATGTTTTTGTAAGACTTTTATAGCATTTGTAACTCAATAAGGTCATTTGGGTGCCGAGGATTAGCGATGTTATTAGATAGTAACAAAAACAAAAATGTAGGAGGAGATATATGGATGGTAGATGTTTGATAGGAGAGAAGGAACAGACCATACCAGAGCACCTGCCAACCATCCAGGTTAGGAGGGTCTGTACGATCAGATCGGATGAGAAAAACCGGACCAAAAAAAGGGCTCCGACTTGCCAAACAAGATCAGGGAGAACATAATACACAGCTTATTAAGAGAACGAAAGGCAGGCCACAGTGAGATAAACTAGAGAGAGAGAGAGAGAGAGAGAGAGAGAGAGAGAGAGAGAGAGACAGAAGAGTCAGTGAAAAAAGAAGAGACACAGAGAGGGGGCTAAAAGTGAGTCAGAGACAAAGTATAATACATTTATTTCTTCAGTAAAACAAAGAAAAAACCAACCCAACCCAAAACAAAACAAACAAACAAAAAGAAACAAAGAATGACATTATCATTTTATTTCATTTTCACAAACATTCTCCAACCGACAGCAACCTTCATGTAAGTCTCTCAAATACATTCAGTCAATCACTTATGACATAACTTTATGGAATGATTTCTGATCCTGCATCGTTTACACATATGACGTCATAGGCTAATAATAATATATATGTGATTGTGCCTGATA